AGGACCGTGAGATCTGCCGAGAAACACAGCAAAGTCTGCATCGGGACGATCAACAGAAAGAGAAGCAAAAAACTTGAAGCACTCTTCAAAGCTTCTCTTGTTTTCCACGGCAGTCTTGAACATGAAGCCGTAAGTAAATAGATCCCGGGCTGGAATAGCGGATGAGACAGGAGCGAGGGTTGGGAAATAAGAATACAACCACAGCTGCAAAACCCAAAGCGGCCCACCACTAATGACTAAGGGTTGAGCCGCGATGTCTTGGCAACTCCTGTATAAATGAGCAAGCAAAAAAGGACCCAGAGCCATTTGTTTGCCATGTGCTAAAGCAACCGCTAAGGGAATAAACTCTTTAGTGGGACCTTTACCAGCAGAGCAGACTATATATTTGCCAATCAAAGTAAGCAAAAATGAAATATGCTCATCAGCACTAACAGGCTTACTTTTATCATAGGCAGACTTCACGAAAGCTGGATAAGAGGGCTTCAATTCTACATTGTACTCAATGCCTGGAGGCAGGGTTAACAATGCTGAAATTTCTTCTCCAGTACAGGGCAATCCGGTTAACGAGCTGACATCAAAAAGGCTCACAGACATGGCTCCACAAGGAAAATGGAAACAATTGAAAGAGCCAGACCAGAATAACAAAGCCGCACCCAAGACCGGCTTGTCCATGGGGAATCTGCATTTGGTGAGTTGTATAAATTCAAACAAGCCTACATCTCTCCAAATTTGACCAAAAGCAGGTTCCAAACGGTTTATCCAGTCAGTCCATTCTGATTTTCTCCAAACTGGCCAAGCACCAAAAGAGCCAATCCATTTATTCCAGTCAGGTTTTACCTGGAAGGGGAGGAAATGTTCTTTGGGCTGTGGGTAAATGGAGGCAAGAGAAGCTGGCGGCTGAGACACAAAATAAGGGCCCAAAATCTGAGATTTTTTGTGCAGAACAGAAGTTTGGTTTGAATGGCATGGCTTCTGTTTTTGGAGTATCCTGTTTATATCATCTTGAAGATTTTGGTCTTGGAAGAGTTTAATCAAATCTGGTGGAGGTGACCTCAAGCAAGGAGTGGCCTTTAAACCGGCCATGGAAGCAGATCCGGTGGGCATGGTTTGCTCTTCTCGGTCACTGGCCATGGAAGCAACTTGAGCAAGGAAAGGCTGCCTGGGAGTGAGTACCGGCCACAAGCCAAGTTGATCTACACACACAAGAAGTAAAAAAAAAAAATCAGCCAACAGTCACACGCACAAGGAGGATTCCCGGTACGGTCCATGGGGCACAAGCAAAGTAAGTCTCTGCAAATAAAGTGAAAATAACAGTCAACAGCTACCTGTGAAGCAAGAAGAGTCTCCGGGGGGACCACCGAGCAGATCTGGACAAACAAGCAAAGGAAGAGTGCAGCCGGCGGCAAAGCAAAGTAAACTGGAAAGAGAGAGTCGGTGATGATGGCCCGTGAAGATGGAGAAGATAAAGTGAATTTTAATTTTTAATTTTCAACTAATCCTTGCTTTTGGGATTTGCTTTTTAAAAATTAAATATTAAAATAGAGGTTGATGGGGCGACATATGGTGAGAGCAAAGGAAGAGTGCAGCCGGCAATGACCCAAAAAGAAAGTGAGTTTAACTTTTCTTTATTTTTGGATTTTGGAAAATTAAATGAATTTTGAAAGGAGTGGCTGGGGTTTATCTAGAAAATTGCTCAGGAGATATTTATAAAGTTGCTTTTGAAGAGAGTTCGGCATGTGGCATAAGTAATTATGGTGTGGGAGACAATTTATCTAATTAAAACACTTGGATTTATCTTAATAAAACCAAGTGTTGGGGGCATTGTTTACACCATAAATTACAAAATTTTAGATTAATGTCACGTGTAAAATTTTTATTGGCTGGAGGAGTTTTGAGCCATGTCAGATTCGGATCCTGGGCCCCATGACAGATCAGCACGTGAGTTGGCAAGATAAGAGAGGTAAAGATAATGTTGAGT